TAAATGAACATCAACAAAGCGGACAATGCATCCAATATTACTATTGCTGTTAATAATAACAACCAAATATTTTTTTGAGAATTTTCATTACGATTTTGGAAAGTTTGCTGTAAGTGCGGGGTTAAGGTCTTAATTGTCTTGAAAATTATATGTGAATTACGATATAATATTTAAAATTGTCTTAATTAATTTTTGTTTATTTATTTATCTTAACCACAAATCAATGACGACTAAGCACTCTTGCAGCCTATGGAATGTACCGATTGATTTTTCCATTTTAAAATATTTCTCCACATTCCTGCAGACAATTTCCCTGAATTTCACAGCTCACTTTGATTGCCTCGACAGCTCAACATTTCGATGTTTTTGTCCGTACAATCTACTTTGCTCACAAATTAGTTGGCTATTTGTTTGCATAGTTTACTAGCCCAGTAATAAGAGCACGCCCTGATACGCTCGCGGTCTACAGTCCTTAGTAGCACCGAACAGAACTGTAGCATTTTTTATTCGCAGAACTTTTGAGCTCCCTCTTTGAGTAATTTATGCAGGGGAAACCATTCGGCCGTGGACCGAGCATGCTTTTAATGCTATTTGCTTGCCATTTGGGCCAATAAATCATTTTGGTTTGCAGATAAGTAATTTTTTCTCTCTGCTCTCGCCTTTACAATGCTACCTTCTTCTTGGTTTCTGCTGCCATTTGCAAAGGTTTCCCGTTTTCGGTTTTGGTTGGGTTTTCTTCCGCCTGCCTGTCGTGATTCATGACTTTGCAATTTCTTGTCCGCCACAATTGTAGTGGGAATCTGGAAAAATCTGCGTCGGTCATGGCCTTCTTGTGCATGAAATATTTCGCTTCTGCCACTGCTTTCCTCCGTCATGTATTGGTCCTTATCGATACTCTACAGTTATGCTAAAATTCATCATGAAAATTGGGTGGTTGTGACCTTGGGAGTATCGTGAGCTAAGGTATTTATAAAATGAATTCAGCCAGACTATATGTTTAAAAATGGAAAGTTTCCCTTCATATTCATCTTGCTAGGATCCTACTGTCTTAATGCATTCATTCATTGGCAAGGCCAACTATTCCCAAATTTTTTTTTGCTCTAAGTAGTCTATGTACTATCATAGAAAAAGCATTGTTTCACATATTTGATTTAGCTTTGCAACCACTAGCAGTTTAATAATTACACTTGTCGGTTAGAATATGGATGCTGCCCACGGCAATGGAGTCACTTTTTGGCAATCAGGTCTTCTGTACTTGCCTACACCTGTTCCCGCCATCCTTGACAACCCCAAAATAACATTAAATTTTCATATTACATATATGTAAATATATGTATATATAAGTTCGAGTATATATGTAGTTGTGTATATGCAAACAAAAATTGTCTTTGGACGTGGGGGTTGCAGGAACAAAAGCGGCTCATACTGAAATTAGTCTGTATCATGTTTATGCTACCATCCAATACCTGTCAAAATACTTGAGAATGCTTTGTTAGTGGGAGTGTTTATTTGGTGGAAAACTATTACAAATTGATTAAGCTTAATAGTCCATAAGTTATAAGACAAATAGTCTGTGTATTTAAAAATCTTTCTATTATAGCTGAAGAAATTATATTTTTATTAACATTAGCTCTAATTAAAGCATTTATGATTTTCATACCTAAACATTCACAACTACTTATTATTACTCTCAAAGTATTTTCATGCATATTATGATGATGTATAAACATAAATAATATAATATATATATATATATATATATATAAAATATAAAATAACATTTTGTTTTATAGAATTCGAATGCCAAACGGCATTCAAAATGGCATGGAAAGTATCAGCTGCGAAAGTTTCAGACGGGCTTGCCAACTCTTGTAATTTTGATGGGAGTTTCAGCAAAGGTCACTTTTTTATTTTTAAACAAAATTGAAAATAGTGAATTTCGTTTGCTAATAAAATATTTGTTTGCTAAAAGAAAACCGCCACTGAATCTAAGGCTAAGCTTGATAAATACTATGGAGACTCTGCACTATACATTTCAATGGTGAAAGTGGATTACTGTGTTTTATTGTGCCTGTACAAACACAAACGATGTGCCACATCCTGAAGTCCCAGTTTTGCTCACAGATAAAATATTAAGGATTGGAGATAGAAACTGCAAGATATTCTGGAAGATAAAGGCAACTAAGGCTAGTTGGTTTTAGTTTTGAATAATCAGTTGGGGATGAAAAAGCTTTCCGAACGAAATCGTGTGACAACTTCGAAGGACTGTTTGGTGTCGATAACCCACAATAAAGACACATTTTTACACTGTTTCCGAACCGTGTATGAAACATTAATCAACCAAAACAAATCAGAGATAAAAGCAGTCAAAACACATGGTTTCTCATGACAATTCTGAGCCAAAGCCATACAGCAACTGCCGACATGTCCACTTAACATTCATCCATTACGATACAAAATGAACCCTTAACTTAACCCTATTCTCTTGAATAATCCCTAGTGACTATTTCGTATGTATATATTTGTTTTTAGGTAGAACGACTATTTTTTAGCACGCCCTCGAACTTACAGTTTTTATTGGATGGGTGGTTTTCACCATTTGATTTTAATTTTGATTTTTCTTAAATGTCAGCTTGTCACATTTGTGCTAGTTCTATTCCTTTCTTATTGCCAAAACTTGACGTAAACTTATATTTTCCATCTGGAACTTATAAAAAAGTTAATGTCATCTTGACATCGCTTGAAACTGTGGAACTGTCAGCAACAACAACTAAAGCGATATTTAAATAAGCACTTTCCACCGAAAAGGTGGGGAAATATTTTAAGGGAGCTTCTCTCATTGTCTTATTGATGAATAAAGAGCCAATCGACGATCAGACGCGATCGCCAAACAGAAATTTTTGCACACCAGGAAGCCAACCCACCAAAACAGTTTTCTTATACAGAAATCAAGGGCTTCCGGAAGATCTTATGGTTTTTGCTAAATCGGTTTTGCTTTTATTGTAAGCTAATTTAGTTGATGACTACGAATTTGTGTAAATCAGAATACTTGTATGAAGGTTTCATACAATATGTTTTAAACATTTATCATAATTAACAAATCATGTTTACCCACCAGCTCATGTCTCCCTCCAATCCTCTGTTTGTTCCAACAACTTATTAGCGCTATTAATATTTTGCCTGTTCCTCTTTGGGTATTTTATTTTCCCCATGGTTTCTACTTTTTTCATCTGGGGCATAGCTCTCGTTTTGGGGCTGCTTGTTAATGTATTCTGTTATGTATGGTCAGGATCGGACCGCCACAATTTGTTGTTCTCTTTCTTATTTATAATATTTGCGACTAGGTATGGAGAAATGGCCCGCCTCCCGTTCTGCTCGAGTCCCATAAAAGCTAACTGCCCTAGGCATTAAGTGTGTTCTCATTTGGCCCCATGTCTGAGCCTTAATTAATATGAATTAATTTTAGTGTTAATTGCAAGTGGTTGGGAATGCTTAGGGCTCTCAATGCATGCGAAAAGCTTTAGTCTGGTCGTTCACAAAATGGAAGTCGGCACTGGGAAAAGTTGTTATGTGGATGTAATTACTAAACGAAAATGTATAAATAAGGTAAAGATTTTGGTTAGGATTTTTAGTGCTGAAATATAACTAATGCAAAGTTGTTGGACTCATGCGCCAATAGTTCGACAATACTCTCACTTACTTAAACCTAAAAAAAAAGAAACTTCCTCACAACATCAATCACTCTCCATCACCATCAAGGAAAGTTAAGTGCTGTAATTACCTTAGTGTGGAATGCGATTTGAACATTATTCTGAAGCGGTTTAAGTAATTTAGCTAATGACTTAATTAAATCATTTCTGAGTTTTCTATGCCACAAACAAGACGGGAAATAGAGCGACGCACATATTCTCTCAGTGTGTTAATACAATTTTCCAAACAATGCTTATCAGTGGAAGGATCTGTACTTGTTCCAAGAGAAAAAAAGAGGAAGACTGAGACAGGGAAAGATTATCAACGACCATTATGGGCTGCGTTCTGGTTGTTTGCAGTAATTAATATGAAGTGTAGGCCACAGCTTTGACAGCTTTCGCTATCTGGCTAAATAGCATTGAAAACATCACGTAGATAAATAGAGCCACTAAGACCCGATGTCAAAGAGCAGCTAAATCAAATTTCTCTCACATTTTTTTTTGAGCGGCAGCTGCGGCCTCCGCTTCTTGTGCGGCCAACAAGATGGACACGAGAGTAAATAATAAATAAATATTTAGAAAGCGTTTCGCTAACAGGACACGTCTAGGGAATTAACAATATGGCAGAGGGGTGTGTGTGTGAGGTGTGGTTTTCCGCTAGACTGAAGGCAGCTGCTTTTCGGCCAGACGTGTACAAGTCCCCTTGGCTTAAGCAAAAGCTTAGCCACTGCCAAAACTTTGGCCGTCCATTAAAGTTTAAAGATGAAGGCACCAGCTTGTGAAACCGCAGAGAATTTGACCCCACCGAGGTTACACGCAGGTCCCTAACTTCCTCTTCATCCTAACGGAATGGTTCCATTCTTCATTCCTGTATCTTGGCTGAATAACCACATTGGAGGGGGTGGGGTTGGGGTTTGGATTGGGGATGGTATTGGGATTGCCATTGGAGACATGGAGCATGAGCTGAGCCGAGACCCGCATAGATTTACAATCAGCTGTTACTGCTGCTTGGGCTTTTCCTGACTGGGCATTATGCCACAAATCATAAAAACGCATCCACACACACACACGCACCAAACGTAAGCATATGTTCATACATACATAAATACCGAGATGGTATACTAGCGTTAGTTCATAAGGCGGCCTCCTGTGGCCATGTGGTCTGGGTTTACGTGATATTTTATGGGTCACTCGCTTCGCCATCGACCCGAAAGCCCCGTAGATGTCTTCGAATAGCTTTCCGTATTCCTTTGAGGCCATAAAAGACTTATCTTTTCTCCCTACCCTGGGAATGTCATGTAAGTCATGTACAATGGTGTAATTCTATCTTCAATTGTATCTCATTGCATTTGATTAACAGTTAAGACTCCTCCCACCATCCGCAAATTACAAATGGCAATTAAGTAGCGGGGAAAAACTGTAGAGGAAAGAGAAAATGAGTCTGAAAAGATTAAGCAACAAGTGGAAAAGTAAAGGGAAACGCTGGCCTAAACAACGTTTAATGAGATACTTAGAAGATATGTCATACATATGTACATTTCAGAAGAAGAAAAATATGTGATTCTTTTCAAATGAGGCAACACTTTTTAAATATATGTAAATGTTATACGGCTGTCAAATACTTTGAATATTAATTTAATTAGACTATTTCGTATGCAAAACTTTGACTAAACTTCACTTTTCCTTCCGTAATAAAGAACCGCCCCAAGAAAGTGTTGTCTCTGCATCAGCCGTCAAGGAAAGCTAAATAAAATTACATGCATCTGCAATTCAATTAATAAATATTTCAAACGTTTTCACACATAGAGTAATGCCCAAATGTATGCCAAATTATTTTCCAATATGAGTGCAAATAATAAAACGAGAAGGGACGTGTGAGACGCTTCTTACGCGTCACAACTTTTATACCCGGTACTCAGTACTACATCAGTAGCTAACCGCTAAGCTAAGCTTTGTCAAATTTTACATTTTTTCTTCATCTGTCATCTACATCTACAACACTACTCACACCAACACGCTCCGTTAGCTCGCCGCCCTTCCCTAGACCCACACACTGCAGAGTCAGGGCAGAGGCAGAGGCAGAGGAACGCGAGGACGGACGGACAGACGGACAGACAGACATTGCACTTTCCTTCTGTGCATTACATACAACCGTTATTCTCACAAAGTACTATATACCCTATTTACTCTTCGAGTACCGGGTATAAAAAGCTGCTGGACGGGGTAGGGCTATTTTTATTCTGGCTATACTAATGATCCAATCTAATTTTAATTCGTTGTTCCATGATATGGTCTTTCCTTACAGAATGGCATTTTTAGTTTTCTTTTATCTTCAAAATTGTGGATACCACAGATTTTCGCTCATTGCAGGGGCGGAACCAGTGGGAGCAGACAGCAGTCTGGAGTGAAAATATGGTGGCTCTAGCTTTAATAGTCTCTGAGAACTAGCTGAAAAACAAGAAGGACAGACAGACATACATAGACTCGGCAATTGATGCTGATCAAGAATTTATGTATATACTTTATGCGGTCGGAAATGTTTCCTTTTCTGTGTTATAAACGTATACTTTTGTGCACAAAATCCAATATACCCTATTTACTCTTTGAGTACCGGGTATATTAAACACAAGAAATTTTCTAAACCCCATATCTTTCATAAAAAGTGGGTTTGCTTCCTTCAGGAAAAATCGTGTCGGGTAGTGTTATTGCATCTGAGAGGCAGAGAGCATGATATTTTAAAGGCTTGGTATTCAAGAGAAAACATTCAATTAAATATTACGTAGCTTTTTTCCCCCAACTCTGCAGAATGTTCTCTTCTGAAAAGAACACTAGCTGAAAGCCAAACATTACACGAAAAGTATGTGTTAAAATTAAGAAAAGAAAGAAGGAGTAAGCGAGGGCTTGCGTTGAAAATAAATTGAGCAAAATGGTGGCAGCTACTTAAGTGGAAATATTCTTGCGCTTGTAATAACTTGGCTGCTCTAACCACAGCCAGACCACAGCCGACCAGGCCAGGACAGTCCTGATCCTGGGCAAAGGAGTGGCAAAAAGAGCAAAACGAAAGGGACTTAAGTGCTGTGGCTCTGGCCTAGAGATGGGAGAGGGCAGATCTTAAATTCGTGTCTCTTTGCGCTACTGATATAATCAGTAAGGTCAAAAGATACTTCGATTAGATTAAAGAAGAGAAAAAAACCTATTCAGACTGTACAGTCTTTCGATTTTCAGAATATTCTCTGCTTAATACAAGCGGCGATTCAGGAAAATCGTAAATTTGGCAGACATTATTAGAACACGTATTTCTCTGCCCGTGAGTCAAGCTCTCATCACCAAGTCAGGCCTCTTTGGATATTGTGCTGCATTCATACGTTTTCGATTAAGCTCGTTCTTGGACTACTTTGCCCGAAAAGAGAAGGCAGTGGAAATTCTCACAAAGAAAGGATGTAGCGAACAACCGCTGTAAGAAGCAATCGCAACTGTAGTTGCAGGGGCCCAAAAGCGCACCAAGTGGGCTAAAATTGTAGCACGACTATGACTGACAGGCCATTAATTTTGGATTACCCAGTCAGGCACTACTCTGCGGCCAGTAGCCGTCGAAAGGAGGCTCTGCTATAGAGGAAAAAAAACACTAACTTGCAGCAGGCACTTGGACGAGGCTGTTAAACTTTTCATAATACCTCGACACACTTTTTGGGTTGGTGGTCGTTAACGCTAATGACAACATAAGTGGTCATGTATAATTTCTTAAAATGATTGCCCACCTATCCAACAAAATGCCAACAAAGAAGACAATTGTTCGGAGCGGAAAATAAGTTTGAAAAGGTTAAAGAAGAATGTTGGGAAACTTATACTCATAAGCGCATGCGTTCGCAATGCAGCCAGTATTGAATTTTAATAGATAACAATTCTCGGATATTAATTGTTTATTTGATAGTTCTTTGAGTTGTTGCTTAGCCATCAATAAAATTCAGATTATAGCGTGAATGCAACTCGAATAAATAATCGCCTTTGTCTAAATTTCACCGACAAAACGTTCCATTCTACTTTGAGGTGATGAATCAATGACTTTTTAGGAGGTAGTCACAAAATGATATAATTGTAGATGCCGCAACAAAGCCTTTACGAAATCCAATTACTTAATAAGGCCTCTAGCGGCTTGTAAGCCAAAAGACCTTAAGTGTTCATGTGGCCTTAAGAAAACTTTCAATTTAAACACTTTTTGTCCGTCAATGGGAGAGGTTCTCTAACCCTTTGAACCTACCAGAAGAGATTTCAGAAAGATGTTTACCCCCTGCTTCACCCCCAGGTTCCTCTGGATGAATTCAATTAAAGTAATTCAACTGATCTAATTTGGGCACTTTTGGATGGCTGGCAAATAAATTTTCATCTAATTAAGTAATGAATGCTTCAGAAACACGAACCATTTGCATGGTGTTTGTGTATTCAAATGCCAAAGTTTCTTGTAAATTGTGTCTTATTTACCCCACTCCCCAAATACTAAAGTTCAACAAGAAGTAAACCACGCTCCAATTCTTAGATACATACATACATATATGTATTTATATGTACATGCGCATACCATACTTAAGTAGGTTTGAATGTGCATACATGTAGCTGGAAGCATGCGTCAAGCAGTGTGTGTACAAATCTCGAGGCATAAATCACAATTTCTTAGCCATTAAGACGAGACCGCAGAGATTTGCTGCGCTTTTCAACTCGATGATGTAGAGTCATCATCTTGGCCACAGTTCCGAGTCCTGACAATGTCTGCCGACAGATTCGGCTGGACTGGAAATCTGAAACTTGACACTCAGGCACGAATAATCACTGTGCTGATGCCCTCTTCCGGCTGCACCCCGCTGCTCTTTCCGAGGAATGTCTGCGGACTACATCGAGAGTGGTGACCCCAAAGAGGTGCCTGAGCTCGTAAGCGTCCTTGGACTTTAGGATCTCGGCCATCAGAGCCGCGGGACCAGCCGCGCTTACGGCATTGGCCACAACCACCACAATGCTGGCGTTCTCATCCAGCAGATCGGCTCGGCTCATTCTCGTGGCTTGCCTGCTGGCACTACCACAATGTCCGATCGCCTCAGGGGCAGGGCAGCTTCTTCGTACCCTCGAAGGGCTGCACCACCGCCGATGTGTCGATGTACGTGATATCCGCTGCAATGCCCTCGATATTGATCTGATCTATGCCTCCACTTGCCCCCACATGTACCCGTTCGCTTCCTTTGATAGTGAGTCAGTGGGAGAGAGTCTCGGAGCGGTGTGTAGGCGAACATAGTCCAATAAATACGTTACAATTTTGGTGCTAAGTACAATGTTAAACCAGAATTCATTGAATACACGTACATATATAGATCGTTTCTGCTCCACTTAACTACTCATTTATAATTGTGGGGGCTTAAGATTATCGTTACAAGTAAAGATATAATAAGCTGTGAGATACCAGGTAAATGGTACAAGAAATTGCATTTGATCGTCGTTCGTCGTCTGGTCTTTCACACAACCTTTTACGTTTGGGACTGTATGGAAACTCGCTCGGCGTCACACTCGCCGATCTGCTCTTCGCCGTTTCTGCCTTGCGCCCTGCTGTCTTGTTTGGATTTTACACTTCTTCTTTGTTACTTTACCATATTCTAGAATAAATTTGCTACTTGAAATGGACATTTAAAGATTTGAGAGTAGGCCTTTGCGCAGTAATTCATATTATATTTTTTATTTTCATCCACGTCTGATCATCGTATACACTTAATTTAGAAATGTTGCTTAAGAAATTCAAGTTAAGGATTGTCCCCTCCAGATTTCCTTGGTGCCTGATGGCACGCACCGCTTTCAAGGTCTCCGTTGTGGGTGCTGGCGGCGGTATAGGACAGCCCCTTTCGCTGCTCCTGCGGAAGGTCAAGGGGATCGACGAGCTTTCCCTACACGATCTGCGTGGCACGAAGGGAGTCGCGGCCGATACCGGACATATCTCCGAACATGGAACGGTAAGCGGCTACGTGGGCGAGGATGAGCTTGAGCCGGCATTGCTGGGCGCCAATTTGGTGGTGGTAACCGCCGGAATGCCCCGCGTCCCGGGCATGACGCGCGACCAGTTGATGCAGGCTAACGGTGGCATAGCCATACATGTGATCAGAGCTATGGCCTGTGCCTGCCCCGAGGCACTTATTGCTATTACCACGAACCCCATTAACATTATTGTCCCGACTGCTGCTGAGGTGCTAAAAGAAGCTGGGGTCTTCAATCCACACCGTCTGTTCGGGATAACCACCTTGGATGTGGTGCGCTCGAGGAAGTTTATTGGCGACTTCATGAATATTAATCCGCGGAAGGTTAATATCCCGGTGATTGGTGGACACACCGGACCCACCATCCTACCGCTCTTCTCCCAGTGCCAGCCCGAGTTCAGAGGCGACACCGAAGACATCCTGAGATTGACGCATCGCATCAAGGAAGCCGGTACTGAAGTGGTTATGGCCAAGGGCGGCGCTGGTTCGGCCACCCTTTCCATGGCCTATGCCACTTGCTGTTTCGTGAAGTCCCTGATTCGGGCCCAAAACGGACAGGAGGGCATCATTGAGTGTGCCTTTGTCGCATCCTCTGTGGCAGACGCCCCCTTCTTTGCAGGTCCTGTGGAACTTGGCAAGCAAGGCGTCAAGCGCTGTTTAAAACTGCCTGTTCTGAATGAGTTTGAACAGAAGTCCCTGGATAATTTGCTGCCTATTCTGAGGAAAAATATCGAAGCCGGCGTCCATTTTGCCAAAACGTTTAAGAAATAATAAGTACAATACTTAAAATTTAAATGAAAACGACTGATGGCCAAAGGGAGCGAAATGTTATGTAAAATGTGGAAATTATTACTTCCAGCAGCAGCATATGTATGCAGAACAAAAAATCTTTGCACTCTCGGCGTGAAAAACTACGCTACAGAACATATCAGACTAATACTGGCCAGAAAAAATAAATTAAATATATACAAAATACATTTAAATTTTTTCTACATCTACATCACTTCTCACAGCAACACGCTCGGAACACTCCATCAGTAACGAACACTGCATGGGAAGAGTGTGCGGGCGAGGGTGTGGCGAAATTTGGAAACAAACTTAATTCAGTGTGATATATGAGTCTTCATTCATAATTTGGTGACTAACTCCTTTAGTCTCTGCTAGTCAATGCTTCACATTGCTCATATATTTTTGTAAGGTTTGCAGGGAATCATTTTAAGAATTTTCCTTTGGTTTGCAAGCTTTCGCTTTTGTAAAAAATAGCAGAACATTTTTCTGCCCAGCAGTAAAATTGCACTGAGGCACAGGTCTGAAACTTCTAACAAAATAGCTAGGCCCCCCCTGAACATCAAGCGAAGGAAAACCGAAAGTAGGCAGCATTTTACTTCCACTTTATTTCACACTTTTCCCGACACACATCACACAGAAAGCAACAAAAAAAAAAACGACGAACACATAGGGTGTGTCCATTTTATCTTGTTCCAAAAAAATAAAGGGGGGCAAAACTTTCCTGCGACCCAGTTTCACTTTTACTAAGAGTTCACCTGTCCAAGTTTCAGTGAGTGGGAGTGTGTGTATCTGTTTGAGTAATTCAACTATTGCGGCTGCATTTGTTTCTGCCACCCAACCTGACAACAAGATAAATTAGGGCAAACAATTTCAGGCAAGCTGGTCACACGGCCACCCACACTAGTACAACATGAAGACAGAAATTCTGTGTTTCTAAACAAAAGCTGGATACGATACTTATTAGTATTTGGTATAACCGGTACTCGAAGAGTAAATAGGGTATATTGTATTTGTGTGGAAAAACTGTAACACAGAAGGAAGCGCTTCCAACCCCACAAAATATATATATATTTTATCAGTATCAATGTCTGTCCGTCCGTCTGTCCGTCTTGTTTGTCAGCTAGTTCTCAGACTCTATAAGAGCTAGAGCCACCGAATTTTGCCTCCAGATTCCTGTATGCTCACACTGATACAAGTGTATTTAAAAATGAGCCCCACACAAAGAGCGAAAATCTACCACAGCCACATTTTTTAAGATAAAAGAAAATTCCATTCCGTAGGGAAGGACTATATCTGTCAGATCACCGAATTGGGATCCGATTGGATCATTATTATTGCGAGAATACAGAAATTTTAAGTGGCTAAACCCACCCCATCCATTAGATTTTTTTGTTTTTGTAAAAATGTACAATGTAAAATATGAAAAAAAAACCACTAAGGTACAGTTGTGCTACTGAGTACTTAGTATAAAGTTGTGACGCGTAAGAAGCGTATCACACGTCCTTCCTCATTGTTAAATTGGTCTAAGGGTAAAAATATTACAAAAATATGCTAAGGAATAAAGTTATAAGTAGAAAATAAAGTTACGTCTTCAGAATTTTCGATTTATAGGAAATTTAAAAACCCTTTACTGGAGCATTTAACGAAAAAATATATTTCTGTGAAGTTTTTGACAAGAAATAGTCTTTGTTATCTGTTAGATAACCTATGCAAGGGGTATGTATCTCATTCGTCCATTCCTTCCCCATTTTGTGAATACTCATAAATCGAGAACCTTTCTGGTATTTAGTTGCCTGTTTGTTGATGCTTTTATATGTTTATTTTACAAATTTCAGGCAAAAACTCTAATCATTTAAGGCAACATTTTTTACCAAGACTATGTTCCATCGTGCCTTCCAAATGCACTGCATTTTTATGCTGCTTCTATTTTGGCAACAAACTTTTTGAGGGTTATGCCCAGTGTTTACCTGAGCATCGAAAACTTTATTTATTAGCAAAAGTCATCTGGACTTGAGTTCAGTTTTGGCTGTTGATCTTTTTGGGGTATTAAAAAAGTTATCTGGCCTAAGTGGGAAATCATAATAAGTTTAAATATAGCGAACCAGTTTCTGATTGCTATTACTGGGTGAAATACATTATTGTGGAAAATATCACATTAATATGAACTAATAACTAAGATTATAACTGACATATGTTTGTTATTTATTTATTGTGCATGTTGCGAACTGTACATAAATTAGTACATTTTCCAAGGTATGCTTTTTTCTAATCAGAAAACTTTGATACATCTTATAAAACTCTTGCAAATGGGAAAGATTGGTTAAAAAATATAGGAGCTTGGGAGAAATGAGAAATGAAATGAAATATGTCTTGACTATGGGTAGGAGTAATGAAAAGGTTCCGGTCCCTTAGACTTTTTGTAATTTTTGGAAATCTGTCTCTTTATGCCCGGTACTCGAAATTAAATAAAGTATATTGTATTTGTGCTCGAAGGTGATGTAAGTATGTAACGCACAGAAGGAATCGTTTCCGTCCCCATAAAGTGTATATTAAATCGATATAGCCATGTCTGTCTGTCTATCTGTTAGAGTACTAACAGTTCTCTAGTTCTCAGAGACTATAAGAGCTAGAGCCAAACGAATTTTGCCTCCATAGTGCTGTGCTACGCACTGATATAAGTGTATTGTTTTGTATTAAACTTATGTTCAACGCATAACAGCAAATCCCTTCTTGCAATTTGTATAAATGAATCTGAGCTGACGGATTTGTTGCTTATTCAACCAAATAAATGTACTCAGCATAATTCCTTCATCCTTAATTCAGTAGTTTAGAGTGGCGAGTGGAAATGGGAATGGAGCAATAATTGTACACGCTATTTTCATAGATCCTTGTCAAAATAGAATAGCGGTGCTTAAGCTGGACAAAACGTTTATTATTCACAGAGCTGCACATAAATTTCCCGTCGGACTGTAATTTCTGCCAAACCTCTGGAAATTCGATTTCTAAGTGAAATTATGGCCCATCACCTTTGGACCCAGTTTTTTTTACGGTATTTTTTTTCGACTGCGGCCAAAACAAACACGTTAATTTCACAAATTAGCAGCATGTGTTGTTCCCTCTTACCGGACCTTAATTAGTTAAAGAGGGCGGGCCATTAGATCGATACGTTCAACTGTTGGGAGCTGAGCTGAAGAGGAGAGTAGGAAAAGTAATTTTACTTTACTTTCCACCAGGCAGCGCCGGACTAAAGAAATGGATTCGCTTTTGCCAAGTTCGGGACTAGACTCGAGTCGATGTAGTGGGAATTGGCTCTCGGCGCTCTATAAATTACAGGCAAATCGTGCTGGATGCCAACACTATTACTCACACTCCTCCATTAGCACCACTGAAAGATAATTTAAATTGTACA